TCTCAAGAATAAAAAGAGATGTGAAAAAGTGATTGAGACAAAAAATGTTCTTTATTACCTTAGCAAACATGTTCCATGAACAATTATATCCCATCAATTAGTTATACCAACCTAAATTAAACAAAAGACGAATATTTCGAAAAATGATGTTTTTGACATAAAAATTGAAGATATCTCAAAAATAAAAAGAGATGGGAGAAAGTGATTGGAACAAAAAATGTTCCTTATTAACTTAGAAAACATGTTCCATAAACAATTGTATCCCATCAATCAGTTATACCAACCTAAATTAATCAAAAAGTAAATATTTTGAAAAATTACGTTTTTGACTGAAAAATTGATATCTCAAGAATAAAAGGAGATGGGAGAAAGTGATTAGGACAAAAAATGTTCTATATTCCCGTAGGAAATACATTTCATAAACGATTATATCCGATTGATGAGTTGTACCAACCTAAATTACTCAAAAAGCGAATATTTCGAAAAACGACGTTTTTGACTGAAAAAACGTTGATATTTTAATAATAAGAAGAGGTGCGAGAAAGTGATTAAGACGAAAAATGTTCTTTATTAACCTAAAGAACATATTTCATAAACGATTATATCTCATGAATTAGTTGTACCAACCTAAGTTAGTCAAAAACGAATAGTTCGAAAAATGACGTTTTTAACATAAAAATGATGATATCTCAAGAATAAAAAGAGATGTGAAAAAGTGATTGAGACAAAAAATGTTCTTTATTACCTTAGCAAACATGTTCCATGAACAATTATATCCCATCAATTAGTTATACCAACCTAAATTAAACAAAAGACGAATATTTCGAAAAATGATGTTTTTGACATAAAAATTGAAGATATCTCAAAAATAAAAAGAGATGGGAGAAAGTGATTGGAACAAAAAATGTTCCTTATTAACTTAGAAAACATGTTCCATAAACAATTGTATCCCATCAATCAGTTATACCAACCTAAATTAATCAATAAGTGAATATTTCGAAAAATTACGTTTTTGACTGAAAAATTGATGATTTCTTAAGAATAAAAGGAGATGGGAGAAAGTGATTAGGACAAAAAAATGTTCTATATTAACGTAGGAAATATATTCCATAAACGATTATATCCCATCGATGAGTTGTACCAACCTAAATTAATCAAAAAGCGAATATTTCGAAAAACGACGTTTTTGACTGAAACAATGTTGAAATTTTAATAATAAGAAGAGGTGCGAGAAAGTGATTCAGACGAAAAATGTTCTTTATTAACCTAAAGAACATATTTCATAAACGCTTATATCTCATGAATTAGTTATACCAACCTAAGCTAGTCAAAAACGAATAGTTCGAAAAATGACGTTTTTAACATAAAAATGATGATATCTCAAGTATAAAAAGAGATGTGAAGAAGTGATTCAGACAAAAAATGTTCTTTATTAACTTAGCAAACATGTTCCATGAACAATTATATCCCATCAATTAGTTATACCAACCTAAATTAAACAAAAGACGAATATTTCGAAAAATGATGTTTTTGACATAAAAATTGAAGATATCTCAAAAATAAAAAGAGATGGGAGAAAGTGATTGGAACAAAAAATGTTCCTTATTAACTTAGAAAACATGTTCCATAAACAATTGTATCCCATCAATCAGTTATACCAACCTAAATTAATCAAAAAGTAAATATTTTGAAAAATTACGTTTTTGACTGAAAAATTGATATCTCAAGAATAAAAGGAGATGGGAGAAAGTGATTAGGACAAAAAATGTTCTATATTCCCGTAGGAAATACATTTCATAAACGATTATATCCGATTGATGAGTTGTACCAACCTAAATTACTCAAAAAGCGAATATTTCGAAAAACGACGTTTTTGACTGAAAAAACGTTGATATTTTAATAATAAGAAGAGGTGCGAGAAAGTGATTAAGACGAAAAATGTTCTTTATTAACCTAAAGAACATATTTCATAAACGATTATATCTCATGAATTAGTTGTACCAACCTAAGTTAGTCAAAAACGAATAGTTCGAAAAATGACGTTTTTAACATAAAAATGATGATATCTCAAGAATAAAAAGAGATGTGAAAAAGTGATTGAGACAAAAAATGTTCTTTATTACCTTAGCAAACATGTTCCATGAACAATTATATCCCATCAATTAGTTATACCAACCTAAATTAAACAAAAGACGAATATTTCGAAAAATGATGTTTTTGACATAAAAATTAAAGATATCTCAAAAATAAAAAGAGATGGGAGAAAGTGATTGGAACAAAAAATGTTCCTTATTAACTTAGAAAACATGTTCCATAAACAATTGTATCCCATCAATCAGTTATACCAACCTAAATTAATCAAAAAGTAAATATTTTGAAAAATTACGTTTTTGACTGAAAAATTGATATCTCAAGAATAAAAGGAGATGGGAGAAAGTGATTAGGACAAAAAATGTTCTATATTCCCGTAGGAAATACATTTCATAAACGATTATATCCGATTGATGAGTTGTACCAACCTAAATTACTCAAAAAGCGAATATTTCGAAAAACGACGTTTTTGACTGAAAAAACGTTGATATTTTAATAATAAGAAGAGGTGCGAGAAAGTGATTAAGACGAAAAATGTTCTTTATTAACCTAAAGAACATATTTCATAAACGATTATATCTCATGGATTAGTTATACCAACCTAAGTTAGTCAAAAACGAATAGTTCGAAAAATGACGTTTTTAACATAAAAATGATGATATCTCAAGAATAAAAAGAGATGTGAAAAAGTGATTGAGACAAAAAATGTTCTTTATTACCTTAGCAAACATGTTCCATGAACAATTATATCCCATCAATTAGTTATACCAACCTAAATTAAACAAAAGACGAATATTTCGAAAAATGATGTTTTTGACATAAAAATTGAAGATATCTCAAAAATAAAAAGAGATGGGAGAAAGTGATTGGAACAAAAAATGTTCCTTATTAACTTAGAAAACATGTTCCATAAACAATTGTATCCCATCAATCAGTTATACCAACCTAAATTAATCAAAAAGCGAATATTTCGAAAAACGACGTTTTTGACTGAAAAAACGTTAATATTTTAATAATAAAAAGAGGTGCGAGAAAGTGATTCAGACGAAAAATGTTCTTTATTAACCTAAAAAACATATTTCATAAACGATTATATCTCATGAATTAGTTATACCAACCTAAGCTAGTCAAAAACGAATAGTTCGAAAAATGACGTTTTTAACATAAAAATGATGATATCTCAAGAATAAAAAGAGATGTGAAAAAGTGATTGAGACAAAAAATGTTCTTTATTAACTTAGGAAACATGTTCCATGAACAATTATATCCCATCAATTAGTTATACCAACCTAAATTAAACAAAAGACGAATATTTCGAAAAATTATGTTTTTGACATAAAAATTGAAGATATTTCAAAAATAAAAAGAGATGGGAGAAAGTGATTGGCACAAAAAATGTTCTATATTAACGTAGGAAATATATTCCATAAACAATTGTATCCCATCAATCAGTTATACCAACCTAAATTAATCAAAAAGTAAATATTTCGAAAAATGACGTTTTTGACTGAAAAATTGATGATATCTTAAGAATAAAAAGAGATGCGAGAAAGTGATTAAGACAAAAAATGTTCTTTATTAACCTGGAGTAGATATTTCATAAACGATTATATCCCATGAATTAGTTATACGAACCTAAGTTAGTCAAAAAGCGAATATTTCGAAAAATGACGTTTTTGACATAAAAATGATGATATCTCATGAATAAAAAGAGATGGGAGAAAGTGATTAGGACAAAAAATGTTCTTTATTAACTTGGAAAACATATTCCATAAACAGTTATATCCCATCGATCATTTATACCAACTTCAAATAGTCAAAAAGCTAATATTTTGGAAACTATTGTTTTTTACATAAAAAATGATATCTCAAGAATAAAAAGAGATGGGAAAAAGGTTAACTCAAAAAAGAAATATTTCGTGTATGCAGAAACTAATTAAAAAAAGGATAGCATCGATATTTATAGAAATAAAGAAAAAGTAAATAAATATACCTTAGGAATTTCAGGAATCTTCAGGATTCTTAAAAGGAGTTCTTCTTTCAGCTCTTTAGGTTCATTTTTCTTTTATTAATTCTTCTTCTTCAAATACATTCTTTATTATCTAAACGAAAACCTCTTTATACAACAAAAATATACAAAAAATAATACTACTCTAATCGAGAAAATCATTATCTCACCGAGATATAATTATTATTTATCCTCTTTCTTCCGCTAAATTATTCTAATCGATNATTTCATAAACGATTATATCTCATGAATTAGTTATACCAACCTAAGCTAGTCAAAAACGAATAGTTCGAAAAATGACGTTTTTAACATAAAAATGATGATATCTCAAGAATAAAAAGAGATGTGAAAAAGTGATTGAGACAAAAAATGTTCCTTACTAACTTAGAAAACATGTTCTATAAACAATTGTATCCCATCAATTAGTTATACCAACCTAAATTAAATAAAAGACGAATATTTCGAAAAATGATGTTTTTGACATAAAAATTGAAGATATCTCAAAAATAAAAAGAGATGGAAGAAAGTGATTAGGACAAAAAATGTTCTATATTAACGTAGGAAATATATTCCATAAACGATTATATCCGATCGATGAGTTGTACCAACTTCAAATAGTCAAAAAGCTAATATTTTGGAAACTATTGTTTTTGACATAAAAAATGATATCTCAAGAATAAAAAGAGATGGGAAAAAGGTTAATTGTAGCAACTTCAATTACTCAAAAAAGAAATATTTCGTGTATGCAGAAACTAATTAAAAGAAGGATAACATCGACATTTATAGAAATAAAAAAAAAGTAAATAAATATACCTTAGGAATTTCAGGAATCTTCAGGATTCTTAAAAGGAGTTCTTCTTTCAGCTCTTTAGGTTCATTTTTCTTTTATTAATTCTTCTTCTTCAAATACATTCTTTATTATCTAAACGAAAACCTCTTTATACAACAAAAATATACAAAAAATAATACTACTCTAATCGAGAAAATCATTATCTCACCGAGATATAATTATTATTTATCCTCTTTCTTCCGCTAAATTATTCTAATCGATTTGCAGATTCTTAAAAAAGTTTTCCTTTTGTTGCTCGATCGTTAATTCATTTTGACTTTGCTGAGTAGTAGTGGTCGAACCAAAAATGGACCACCATGATGGCTTTTTCGGCCTTTTTGATTCATCAACACGGAACTTTTCTGTGTCTTTTAACCAATCTATATATTTGTGTGTCATACTCTTCGTGGTTGCGTCTAATACTTCTATGCTAGGGGCTTCACCTCCATATTCTAAGGGCATCAACTCGACTGGAAATCCATCTGGGACTCTTCCTTTATGAAATTTTACCATTGATAATAATTCCGATTTTACCAAAGGTAAAACAATCCGCATCACGTGATTTATGAAGTTTGGAGTGTTTAAAACGTGGATTAATTTTAATCGGGCTGGATGAGCTTCCTAAAAATTTTTTTTTTTTTTAATTAGAAGGAGATTAATGTATTTTTTTTTTCTTACTTGGATGTAAACCATGAAAGCTTTTAACGCTGGGAGGCTAACTCTTGCTAAATGTCCTAAAGCGACCCCTTTCATATCGAAAATGACGACGTAACCTTCCGATAATCCGTCTTCGGATAAAACGCAATCGTTGTACATGCAAAAAGCTTTCACGGCGTCGCTGAAAACTAGTTTTGTGTAATCTGGATCTCGAACTGAGTAGAGAAGAACGTTGTAACCTTCTTTGGTTTGTTTTGGGAGGCGAACCAAATTTCTAAAAATAAATAATTGATTATGATTAGTGATGCAAAATTCGTAAAAATTGTTGATTATTTCAAAAATTTATTTCTCAAGAACTAAAAGTGATTTTTCAAAACGGCTCTTTTGCATTAAAAAGAGGATACTTTAATTAATAATTGGTACTGTTTCCACAAAAATTCTTCAAGAAATTAATTTTATAGCCAATTTTGAAAATTATCGATGAAAATTGCAACATTGAAAATTTTATCAAAACTTCAAATATTGTTTTCTCAAAAACTAAAAGTTATTTTTCAAAACGGGTTGGTTCATTGGAAAGAGGACACTTTTATTAACATTTTGGGAAATTTTCATACTCATATCCCTAGAAATCGATTTTATACGAATTTTTAAAACTTAATCGGCTAAAATTGTAAAATTCGAATAAAATGTCGATTATTTAAAAAATTTATTTCTCAAAAACTAAAAGCGATTTTTCAAAGCGGCTTTTTGCATTAAAAAGAGGATACTTTAATTAATAATTGGTGATATTTCCAGAAGGATCCTTCAAGAAATTCATTTTATAGCGAATTTTGAAAGTTATCGATGAAAATTGCAACATTCGAAAAAATTCAAAAATTTATTTTTTAAAAACTATATGCGATTTTCCAAAACGGCTTGTTGCATTAAAAAGAGGATACTTTAATTAATAATTGGTTTCTAAATATATAATATAACATCTGTATGTATGTATGTATACAGGTGTCTCACGTAACTGGTTCGTTAGAATTTTTTTAGATTCCTACAGTTTTGGAATTTTGGTAGTAGGGGTTAATCAACCGAAGGTTTTGATCTAAAATAATTTCAAGATGGCCGCCACTTCCGGTGTAGAGGAAGTAGACCACAACTTCGTTCATTTTAAGTTTGCAAATTTGATCATGCTCTTTAAAATCCTATTTTTCAGCCAATGTTCATTCAAAAAAGCTCTACATTGGCACGATTACTCTTCAAATGATATCAAATAGATTGTCATTTGTTGTATCGGAGTATCTTATACAGTCCGGTCAAAAAGTGAATTACCGTTTTTCCACATTAATAGCAAGAATGTCGAAAATTTTAAATGGAAAAATTATCTACTTCGATGAAATTTAGTATGCGGCTATTAACTTAAGACTCTTGGCCAAATCTGTCGACCGGAAGTAGCAGTTTATCTTAACAGATTTCGAAGCTGTTTTATATAAACTTGCACTTTAAACAGAGATTAACAGATAAAAATTTGTACAAATCTAAATAAGAATGAATAACTTTCAGATACAAAATTGTGGTAGAAATTTTTCTCACATAATCGGAAGTAGAAACAAATTTCATATAATCTGGTACTTAGTAAAATAATTTATTACCATTTTTTATAAGACTTTATATCTATGAAAAACGTTTAGATAAAAAATTTCATTCAAATCGTGAAACCGGAAGCAGTATTTTACTTAAAATAGAGAAAGTTCAACAATTATTTCGAATTTAGTGCTCTTTTTAAAAGTATTTTTCTAAAAATTTATTTTTCAGTCGTATAAAAATGTTAGAAAGTTGAGTGTAGATCACTCTACCTTTATTATTACTATGCAATATAAGAAAAAAAAATTGTATTGTTAGTTAATGTATTTTTTTATGTTTTTCATTTAATGCCACCACTTAAAAACAGGATTAAAATATGTTAAACAATTTTATATGTACGTAATTATAGGTATACTGGGTGTTTCATTTAAAATGACATGCTTATATCATAAAAACAAAAACTCGAATCGTAAAAAGTTTCAAGTAAACATTTTTTGGTGAGACTTCTCCCGATTTCTTTCTTTGGGGTTACCTCAAAGAGAAAGTTTACAACCAGGTTCCATCAACACCAAACGATATGAAAAACCGTATCAGAGCAGCTTGCGAATCAATAACTAAAGAAATGCTTGGCAATGTGCAAAGAACGTTTTCAATGAGAATTCAGAAATGTTTAGAAGTGAATCGATGTATAAAGGTAACTTTATAAATTTTAATCAATGTTCTAAGGTGATTTCAAAAATGAAGAAGAATTTTAGTACTATTTTACGATTAATTAAATCGTTTTTTTATTAATTAAATTTTTTTAATTACATTTTGAAAAATATTGTTTAATTTTTCTTTTTGTAGATATCTTCATAACGCAGAATTTAAGAAATAAAATGTTTAAGCAAAAAATACTTAGTTTGTCAAGTTGTTCAATACGTTGAAAGAAAAAAGTATATGTGCTATTTAAAAAATGAAAATGACGTCAGAAGGACTTTTAGGCAACCCTGAAAAAAGATCTGCTCATGTGTACCATTTTCACCAAAAAAAGTTTACTTGAAACTTTTTTCGGTTCGAAGTTTTGGTTTTCGAGATATAAGCATATGTCATTTTAAATGAAACACCCTGTATAATATACAGGGTGATTCACATAAGAACCGACACAGAGCAGGAACGGGTAGAGGACAATAAATTAAGATGATTTAACGCAACTTATCTCTATACTAAGTTGTACCCCTGAGGAGTTATAGGCCTTCAAAGTTGGGTCTTAAATTTTTAAAACATTGAATATCTTCGTAATACATTAAGCTAGAAAAACCAAATTTAGTATACGTTATAAGTGTACCTCAGGTGTACAACTTAGTATATAATAAGTTGCGTTAAATCATCTTAATTTATTGTCCTCTACATCTCCCTGCTCTGTGTCGGTTCTTATGTGAATCACCCTGTATATACAGGATGTCCCGTAATGATTGTACAATACTTCACCAGCGTATTCTCTGATCAAAAATTGACAAAAAAAAGCTTAATAAACATAAGTCCGAAAATGGTCCATTGTTGAGATATTCAAAGTTTTAGTTCGATAAGTTGACCTATTGTTATTAATTCTAATTTTTCTATAATAATTAACCCCTTCATGTAGAATTAGAAGAAACAGTTTTGGTAGCAGTTGCTTTATCCGTATCACTAAAACACTTTTCAAGCTTTAACAGAAAATTGTAGCAAAAAACAATAGATTTTTTGTAGGTGAGCCATACAGAAAGAGGTACTAAACGTCGACTTTCCCATAAACATTATGTTTGGGGAAGAAGCAACATTTACTCAAAACGGAATTCTTAATATCCATAATGCGCACGTTTTGAGTGATGACAATCTCCATACAGTACTAGAAACTCATCATCAGTAGCTATTAGGGTTAATGTATGGACCGGAGTTATAGGTGACAGTTATTAGGTTCATTTTTTCATTCCAAATAGATTGACAGCCGATGCTTCCATATTTTTTTACAAAATGAGGTTACTGAGGCATTTAGTGAATTGCCTCTGCAAATGTTTGCAAACTTTTATGCACGATGGAGCACCAGCACATTATGCACGTGCTACTCGTGTATAGTTAGATGACAGATTTGATGATAATTGGATTGGTCATGGCCCTGTTACGTAGCCACCTAGTTTACCATTATTAAATCAGTTAGATTTTTGGTTTTGATGACATTCAAAACAAATAGTTTATTTTGAAGAAGTATAAAATGTGCAGGATTTGAAAAATACAATTAGTAATCCATTGAAAGTAGTAAATCAAATATGAACTAAAACTTTGAATATCTCGAACCTATCTTTATTAGACTCTTTTGTCTATTTTCGACCAGAGAATACGCTGGTGAACACCCTGTCGTTGCGGGACACCTGTATAGTAGAATGTATTAAAGGGAAAATTGTAAATATTAAAAACAATAAAACGCTTATATATATAATACTTTGGAAAATTTTCATACTCATATTCCAAGAAATCGATTTTATACGAATTATTAAAATTTAATCGGCGAATATTGCAAAATTCGAAAAAATTGTCGATCATTTCGAAAATTTATTTCTTAAAAACTAAAAGCGATTTTCCAAAACGGCTTTTTGCATTAAAAAGAGGATACTTTAATTGATAATTGGTGATATTTCCAGAAGGTTCCTTCAAGAAATTAATTTTATACCGAATTTTCAATATTATCGATGAAAATTGCAAAATTGAAAATTTTATTAAAACTTCAAATATTGTTTTCTCAAAAACTAAAAATTATTTTTCAAAATGGGTTGGTTCATTCGAAAGAAGAACTTTTATTAACACTTTGGGAAATTTTCATACTCATATTCTAAATTACATTTACAGTTTTCTGTAAATTACGGCACTATAACTAAAAATTATTCTACTAAAAATTTATATAAAATTTACTTTATTTTCTAACATATTAAACTTTCGGTAATTTTCATCTTAAAAACAGGATTTTTAATTTGACACTTCAGAAAATGTTTGAATACAAACAAATGTTTCTATGTTTATTTGAATTAAAAAATATATATATATGAGCGCCATCTATCAATAATTTATTAAGTCATTTAATAACAATATTAAATATTAATAAAAAATGTGAAATAACGCAATCTATTCCATCTTTTGTGTAAAACAAATATAAATTAAATAGTTCAACAAATGTATTTGTTTCAAATATCAGAAATATGTTTCTTTTAATTTTTAGTTATAATTTACAGGAAACTGTAAATCTAATTTCTTTGACGACACTAAAAAAAAAGTTTATTTTTAGCTTATTCTAAAACAATAAGAAATAGACCTGTCAAACCCTATATTTTTGTAATCAGAAAAAAATAACGAATTTAATAATTCCATTTAAAAAAACCACTGATTAAAATGTTAGTCTTATTATTAAAATCATTCATAAATCTTGAAAACTGACAAATCCAAATATGTAAAAATATACAGGGTGTTCCATTTAAAAAAATTAAGTAGGTGGCGACTTCCGGTATAACCGGAAATGCTAGAAATCTGAAAATATTTTAGTCGAAGAGAACGCAATTGGTAATACTTAAATCTAAATTTTGAAATTTTTATTTTGGTCAAAACCCCGTATAGTTCTAATGGACGGTCGTCGTGGATGACCCTGTATACAGGGTGAGTTTTTTTCATGTTTAATTTGGAAATCTCGAAAACTGGCGGATATAGAGAGACTATTAAATAGGGAAAGAATTACAGTTTCATGAACTCAATTTAGTGAGCTTTTTGTTTTTTGGAGGAAATTCATGGCTAACTACTATCCGTGCAAAAAGTGAAGGCCCCTCTCATTTTAGAGATCGATATCGTCGTAACCGCTCGATGGACAAAATTGCGGTAAAATTTATTGTAATCAGTGAACATTTCTANTGGACAAACTGTAGATGTAGTGTTAGTTCTAGTTTTGCACTATCACTAGAACTAACACAAGACCTGGAGGTAGAATAATAGGGCGTTTAGTTTTTTTTTTCGTCATTTCAAAAATTTATTTCTCAAGAACTAAAAGTGATTTTTCAAAACGGCTTTTTGCTTTAAAAAGAGGATACTTTAATTGATATTCGAAAGTGATAACAGCGATTTCGAGTTCTATTAGTAATGAATGTGATGATGAATTAATTACAAGCGAAGAGAAGAAAATCCGTTCAGCCACTAACTATGATTAAATAAAAAAAAAGATTTTTGATGAAAATAAAAAAATAGTGGGCCTATGACATAATTATTAAACATTCCATCAAAGAAAAAATAAAAAAATGATGTAGACAGATAAAATGTTCACCAAATTAAATTTAAAATTTTCCGTATTTAAATCACTCGTAAGTATCTTTTTTATTATCACCGCGAAGAAATCGATAAAATCCACGAAAAAAGCCAAAAAGAAATTAATATATTTTTTTTTAATTTCATCTAGTTCAATTTGTTGTGTTCGCCATCAAAATCTTATAGTCACCGATGGAGAAACGACACTTTTCTACCGATAGTTTCCAGAAAATCACTCATCCAATCATGGAAACCCGTCTTTCCAACGAACAAATCCAGAATTTTACCTATTCCATCGATCGAATCTAAACAGCCCAATTTCGACATTGTTCTTAAGCAGTTTGGATTAAATGAAACGAGCCATCACACAAAATTTCCCACAATACTTCCAATTCCACTAAAACAACATTTTGGATTTAAACCAACACTTATTCCATCACCAAAACCGATTAAAAAGGAGGAAATAATCACCTTGACGCGACTTGTCAAATACCAAGTTGGTTCGAAAGCCCGAAAATATTTGAAAAATTGCAGAAAATTCGAACATCGAATTCAATTACTAACAGATTTAAAGAATGGCAAAAAATTGCGTAAGATAAAAAATAACACCGGGTTTGGACTATTTCAAGGAAGCGATCCATTCCATTTCGGGAAAACCGCAAGAAAATTGTCGAAACAAGCCGATAAATGTGGAGAAAAAAAAGGAAGAGGTCCCGACATTTGTGAAGAGGTTAAAAAAATTATTGCGGAACACGAAAAAAAAAGTAGCATGATGAAAGGGGCTTGTAAAAAAGAAAATGAGAAGAAATGCTCCCCGAAACCTAAACCATGTCCTAAAAAGGAAACAAGTTCTTGTGGTGGTGCGAAAAAGGAGGAAAAGAAACCAAAAACGTGTGAGGAACCAAAAAGTTGTGCGAAATCAGAAAGTTGTAAGACTTTAAAGTTGAAACCAAGTAGTTGTGGAAAACGAAAACCGAAAAGTTGTGGAGAACCAAAGAGTTGTGAAAAAAAATCAAAGAGTTGTGAAGAAAAACCAAAGAGTTGCGAAAAATCAAAGAGTTGTGAAAAACCACCAAGTTGTGCAAAACCTAAAACGACATGTTCTGAACCTAAGACGACATGTTCAGAACCAAAAACATGTTCAAAACCGAAACCGAGTTGTAAAAAAGAAAAGAAATCTTGTTCAAAAAAAGTAATATCAACTCCAACCTGTCAAAAAAAATCATCGTTTAAAGCGATATTTGAAAAAATTTTAAAATCCCCCATCTTTGGAACTAAAAAACAACCACCTGTATGCCAACAAAAAGAAACGAAATGCCAAAAATCGGCTCAAAAAGCTTGCGTTTCAACTTGCCCAAAAGTTGAACCAAAAAACTCTTGCGCTTCAACTTGCCCAAAAGACGAACCGAAAAAATCTTGCGCTTCAACTTGCCCAAAAGAAGAACCGAAAAAATCTTGCAATACCACCTCAAAACAAGTAGTGAAAAGACACCGCTGCCCATTATGCGGCGGAGAACACCAAGGAGCGAAAAAATCCGATTGCGGAAAAGCTAATTATTCCAACCAACCGATTGGAAATGGTAGTTGCGGGGGTGGTGCTAAAAAATCAAAACCGAAATGTACTTTTGGCGTGAATAAAAAACGAAGATCTTGCCAAAAAAAGAAAGGTGGGTGTACTTTTAATAGGAGTTCCGGGGGTGGATGTGGTGCTAAAAAATCGTCTTGTGGCGGTGGTGGAGGATGCGGAGCGGCGAAATCGCCTTGTGGTGCTAAAAAATCGTCTTGTGGCGGAGGTGGAGGATGCGGTTCGAAATCGCCTTGTGGTGGTTCCAAACCTAGTTGTGGTGCTGCTAAATCGCCTTGCGGAGGTGGTGGAGGATGTGGTGGTTCAGGATCGAGAAAACCTACTTGTAGTCAAAAAGCGTGTGGGAAAAAGAGTGGAGGATGTGGTGGTGGAGGAGGAGGAGGTAAATAAATAAATTAAATGATTCAAACTTAAAAAAAAAACATTTTGCAATAATTTGGCTAACTTAGACTACAAAGTAGTGGTTCTGTATCATTTAGACAAGATTTCAAAAATTAAATAAACTGATTTTAATAATTCTGTAAAGCTGTAATCAGCTCTCAATCACTTTTCAGTTGATTTAGACAAAGTTGTAATGATTACCAAGAAGGTTTCCACCATTTTGAACAGTTGTGAAAGAGTTACAAACCCGATTTTAATGATTTTGCACAATTTTGCAAAGCTTTAATTAGTTCTCAACCTCTTTGTATTACTTTTGAACAATTTAAAACTGCAATTAATTGGTTTTTAATGATTTAGACAAAGTTGCAATAATTACTAAGGCGATTTCCATCATTTTGAACAATTTTGAACAGTTACAAAATGGTTGTTTACAATTTAGACAAATTTCTAATGATTACAAACCCTATTTTAATAATTCTGAACAATTTTGCAAAGCTTTAATTAGTTCTCAACCTCTTTGCATTACTTTTGAACAACTTAAAACTGCAATTAATTGGTTTTTAATGATTTAGACAAAGTTACAATAATTACTTAGGCGATTTTCATCATTTTGAACAATTTTGAACAACTGCGAAAGAGGTCTTTACCATTTAGACAAGTTTCCAATGATTACAAACCCGATTTTAAGGACTTTGAACAATTTTGCAAAGCTTTAATTAGTTCTCAACCTCTTTGCATTACTTTTGAACAACTTAAAACTGCAATAAATTCGTTTTTAATGATTTAGACAAAGTTGCAATAATTACTTAGTTCGATTTTCATCATTTTGAACAATTTTGAACAGCTGCGATAGAGTTCTTTACCATTTAGATAAGTTTCCAATGATTACAAACCCTATTTTAATGACTTTCAACAATTTTGCAAAGCTTTAATCAGTTGTCAACCTCTTTGCATTACTTTTGAACAACTTAAAACTGCAATTAATTGGTTTTTAATGATTTAGACAAACTTGCAATAATTACTAAGGCGATTTCCATCATTTTGAACAATTTTGAACAGTTGCAAAATGGTTGTTTACAATTTAGGCAAATTTCTAATGATTACAAACCTTATTTTAATGATTTTGAGCAATTTTGCAAGGCTTTAATTAGTTCTCAACCTCTTTGCATTACTTTTGAACAACTTAGATACACAATGAATTAGTTTTTAATGATTTAGACAAAGTTGCAATAATTACTAAGGCGATTTCTATCATTTTGAACAATTTTGAACACTTGCAAAACGGTTGTTTACAATTTAGACAAATTTCCAATGATTACAAACCCGATTTTAATGATTTTGACAAAGTTGCACAGATTAACAAGAAAATTTCTATGATTTTGAACAATTTTGAACAGTTGCAAAAGAGTTCTTCACTATTTAGACAAATTTGCAATGATTGCAAACTTGATTTTAATGATTTTGAACAATTTTGCAAAGCTTTAATCAAATCTTAACCTATTTGCATTATTTTTGAACAACTTAGAACCGCAATAAATTGGTTTTGAATGATTTAGACAAAGTTGCAATAATTACTAATTCGATTTCCATCATTATGGACAATTTTGAACAGTTACAAAATGATTGTTTACAATTTAGACAAGTTTCCAATGATTACAAACCCTATTTTAATGATTTTAAACAATTTTGCTAAGCTTTAATCAGTCCTCAACCTCTTTGCGCTACTTTTGAACAACTTAGAACTGCAATAAATTGGTTTTTAATGATTTAGACAAAGTTGCAACAATTACTAAGGCAATTTCCATCATTTTGAACAGTTGCAAAATGGTTGTTTACAATTTAGACAAATTTCCAATGATTACAAACCCGATTTTAATGATTTTGACAAAGTTGCACAGATTAACAAGAAAATTTCTATGATTTTGAACAATTTTGAACAGTTGCAAAAGAGTTCTTCACTATTTAGACAAATTTGCAATGATTGCAAACTTGATTTTAATGATTTTGAACAATTTTGCAAAGCTTTAATCAAATCTTAACCTATTTGCATTATTTTTGAACAACTTAGAACCGCAATAAATTGGTTTTGAATGATTTAGACAAAGTTGCAATAATTACTAATTCGATTTCCATCATTATGGACAATTTTGAACAGTTACAAAATGATTGTTTACAATTTAGACAAGTTTCCAATGATTACAAACCCTATTTTAATGATTTTAAACAATTTTGCTAAGCTTTAATCAGTCCTCAACCTCTTTGCGCTACTTTTGAACAACTTAGAACTGCAATAAATTGGTTTTTAATGATTTAGACAAAGTTGCAACAATTACTAAGGCAATTTCCATCATTTTGAACAGTTGCAAAATGGTTGTTTACAATTTAGACAAATTTCTAATGATTACAAACCCGATTTTAATGATTTTGCACAATTTTGCAAAGCTTTAATCACTTCTCAACCTCTTTGCGCTACTTTTGAACAACTTAGAACTGCAATGAATTGGTTTTTAATGATTTAGACAAAGTTGCACAGATTAACAAGAAAATTTCTATGATTTTAAACAATTTTGCAAAGCTGTAATTAGTTGTGAACCAGTTTTCTGTCTGCTAATTTGTAACAAAACATGTTTTTATTAATTTGATCCTTTTGATTATTTTTTAGGTGGTGGAGGAAAAGGAAAATTGAAACAAAAATGTGCCGACCTTTTGAAAAAATACGATGCGCAAAACAAATCATCGAAGAAAGGCAAAAAGAGAAGTGCAAAAACAGGCGGTTGCGGAAGAAAAGTTAACAGACGACAAGTGTCGAGTAGTTCTTGTGTAAGCACAAAATCAAGCCCATGCGGAAAAAGACCTTCAAGTCCATGTGGAAAACCAAAAGATACATGCAAACATTCGACAGTTTGCGGAAAACCGTCGACCTGTTTTGACCCAAATAGGAAAAAACGCTGCAAAAGAACGAGAAGTGCTTCAAGTTGTGGGAAAAAATCAGGTTGTGGTGGTGCAGCAAAACCAAGTTGTGGATCGAAACCAAGTTGTGGATCAAAACCAAGTTGTGGATCAAAACCAAGTTGTGGTAGCAAACCGAGTTGTGGTGGAGCAAAACCATCTTGTGGTGCACCAAAATCTGGATGCGGTGGGAAAAAATCAGGTTGCGGTGGCAGAAAACTAAGTACTGGTTTACCAAGATTTAGTTGTGGTAAAAAATCAGGTTGTGGTGGAGCAAAACCGAGTTGTGGCGGATCAAAGCCGAGTTGTGGTGGATCGAAACCAAGTTGTGGTGGATCAAAACCTTGTGGTGGAGCAAAGCCATCTTGTGGTGCACCAAAATCTGGATGCGGTGGTAAAAAATCAGGTTGTGGTGGTAGAGGTTTAAGCACTAGCGCGCAGTTATTTATTTGCGGTAAGAAATCAGATTATGGTAGCAGAAAATTAAGCACGGGAGTAGCATGGTTTACTTGCAAAAAATCTGGGGGTTGTGGTGAAAAACCTCGTGGCTTAGGAAAACCGAATTTTGGTGACACATTATCGCAATGTGGTAAATCAAAACCATGTGGATCCAAATCAAGTTGTGGTGGAGCAAAACCATCATGTGGTGGACCAAAATCTGGATGCGGTGGGAAAAAATCAGGTTGTGGTGGAAGAGGTTTAAGCACTAATGCGCAATTATTTATTTGCGGTAAGAAATCAGATTATGGTTGCAGAAAATTTAGCATAGGAGTACCATTGTTTACTTGCAAAAAATCTGGTGGTTGTGGTGAAAAACCTCGTGGCTTAGGAAAACCGAATTTTGGTGACACATTATCGCAATGTGGTAAATCAAAACCATGTGGATCCAAATCGAGTTGTGGTGGAGCAAAACCATCTTGTGGAGGACCAAAATCTGGCTGCGGTGGCAGAAAATCAGGTTGTGGTGGCAGAGGTTTAAGCACTAGCGCAATGTTATTTAGTTGTGGCAAAAAATCAGGTTGTGGTGGAGCAAAACCGAGTTGTGGCGGATCAAAGCCGAGTTGTGGTGGATCAAAACCAAGTTGTGGTGGATCAAAACCTTGTGGTGGAGCAAAACCATCTTGTGGTGCACCAAAATCTGGCTGTGGTGGTAAAAAATCAGGTTGTGGAGGCAAAAGTTTAAGCACTAGTGCGATATCATATAGTTGCGGTATAAAATCAGGTTATGGTAGCAGAAAATTAAGTATGGGAGTACCATGGCTTAGTTGTGGCAAAAAATCAGGTTGTGGCGGAGCAAAACCGAGTTGTGGTGGATCTAAACCGAGCTGTGGCGGATCAAAACCGAGTTGTGGTGGATCAAAACCTTGTGGTGGATCAAAACCAAGTTGTGGTGCACCTAAATCAGGTTGCGGTGGTAAAAAATCAGGTTGTGGAGGCAAAAGTTTAAGCACTAGTGCGATATCATTTAGTTGTGGCAAAAAATCAGGTTGTGGCGGCGCCAAACCGAGTTGTGGTGGATCCAAACCGAGTTGTGGTGGATCAAAACCAAGTTGTGGTGGATCTGTGGTGGATCAAAACCTTGTGGTGGAGCAAAACCATCTTGTGGTGCACCAAAATCTGGCTGTGGTGGTAAAAAATCAGGTTGTGGAGGAAAAAGTTTAAGCACTAGTGCGATATCATTTAGTTGCGGTATAAAATCAAGTTATGGTAGCAGAAAATTAAGTATGGGAGTACCATGGTTTAGTTGTGGCAAAAAATCAGGTTGTGGCGGAGCAAAACCGAGTTGTGGTGGATCAAAACCGAGTTGTGGCGGATCAAAACCAAGTTGTGGTGGATCAAAACCAAGTTGTGGTGGATCAAAACCTTGTGGTGGATCAAAACCAAGTTGTGGTGGCAAAAAATCAGGTTGTGGTGGTAGAAGCCTAAGTACTGCATTGCCCAGATTTACTTGTGGTAAAAAATCAGGTTGCGGTGCAAGCAAACCAAGTTGTGGTGGAAGCAAATCAGGTTGCGGCGCAAGAAAACCAAGTTGTGGTGCGAAAAAACCATCTTGCGGGGCTAAAACTTGTGGTGGAGGTGCGAAATTTACTTGTGGAGCAAAAAAAGGAGGTTGTGGCGGAGCCAAACCAAGTTGTGGTGCAAGTAAACCAAGTTGTGGAGCCAAAACTTGTGGTGGAGGAGCCAAATTTACTTGTGGAGCAAAAAAAGGAGGTTGTGGCGGAGCCAAACCAAGTTGTGGTGCTAAAAAACCATCTTGCGGGGCTAAAACTTGTGGTGGAGGAGCAAAATTTACTTGTGGAGCAAAAAAAGGAGGTTGTGGTGGAGCAAAACCAAGTTGTGGAGCAAAACCAAGTTGTGGAGCAAAACCAAGTTGCGGAGCAAAACCTTCTTGCGGAGCGAAACCAAGTTGTGGTGCAAGGAAACCATCTTGCGGAGCAAAAACTTGTGGTGGAGGAGCGAAATTTACTTGTGGAGCAAAGAAAGGAGGTTGTGGTGGAGCAAAACCAAGTTGTGGAGCAAAACCAAGTTGTGGAGCCAAACCCAGTTGTGGAGCAAAACCTTCTTGCGGAGCCAAACCCAGTTGTGGTGCAAGTAAACCAAGTTGTGGAGCAAGTAAACCAAGTTGTGGTGGAGGTTGTGGTTCAAGAGCAGGAACAAGTTTTAGAAATGTTGTTGGAACTGTAATAAAAAAGATAAATTGTGGATCAGCAGGTGGTTGCCAGAAAAAATCAAGTCCATGCCAGAAAAAATCAGGTTGTAGCCGAAGTTCTTGCGGTAAAAAATCAAATCCATGCTCTAAGAAATATAATACTTGTCAATCAAATATATATGACATATGTGGTGATGTCGAAACAAGTCAACCAACATTAAGAGTTCAAGCAGAACCACCCACAACGAAACAATCAATACCAAAAGATAAAGAAAACTGTAAAATCAGATGTACTTTGTGTGGTAACATTTTAACACCAGAAAAATGTAGTGACAATCAACAAATGTGCCCAAATCCATCATGTGGACTAACTGTGAAACCACCAAGCGGACATAAGTGCGGAAAAATATGTTATAGCACGGTTTCTCGATACATCAGAAAACGTTTTCACGAAAAGAAAGCAACTTTTTCATCGAAAATGCGAAAACTACCCATTATTGTCGCCATTAATAGCAACATTTGCGAAGTTGATGCATTGCAAACGAATATGATAAGCGAAAATAAAATAAATGATGAAATGGTAAAGAATGAAATTATAGAAAATGATTTAATCGAAAATGAAATTGTTAAAAATGAAGTAATAGGAAATGAAATTGTAAAAAATGAAGTGATAAATAATGAAATGATTGAAAATAAACAAATTGAAGAAAATAAAATGAAAGAAGATAAAAAAATCGATGTAAACATTGTTAATATTGAAAATGACACGGAAGACGAGCGCCATCCGGAATTATACAACGATTTACTAATGGATGTAACCGAAGATGACAATAAAAAAATTTCAAATTCGATTATCGGAGATCACCATAAAACTATTTTAAAAGCGCCTATCGATGATAGCGACAAGAATTCTGCCAAGTTGGAAAGACTGGAGGATGTTTTTAAGAAAGTCGACAACGAAGTTAATTTAAACAAAAATCTCGACTTGAATCAAGACAAAAGTATCAAGCCGAAGAAATCAATGATACAAGTTTGATGGTAATACATAAGCAGGAAAACCGTATTTCGAATGATTTTCTATCTTGTACTTAGTTTACGGGATATTTTTTTTTAAATAAACCTGTCTACATTAAAAATAATTTGGTCTTTTTCAAATCTTATTCCATTAAAATTAATATTCATTAATACAATAATTTAAAAAAAATTAGTTAAAGAATAATATTTAAAACAAATAAGTCATTAATTAAAATAACTGACATTTTTTAAATAAATTCTTGTTCTAAACGTCAAATTAATCGATTAACATTTTTAGGTTATATCCCATTTAATAAACAATCATTTTTAGGTTATGTATTTCTTCCGCTTCTCTACTTTTCAACAATATGAGGGAAAATTTTGAGGTTACCTGATTTAATAATGAAAATTTAATAAAGAATTGCACTCAAAACAACAAAATTAACTAACTAATTAAAATTATAACTCATATTTTTTAAATAAATTCTTGTTCTAAACGTCAAATTAATCGATTAACATTTTTAGGTTATGTCCCATTTAATAAACAATCATTTTTAGGTTATGTATTTCTTCCGCTTCTCTACTTTTCAACAATATGAGGGAAAATTTTGAGGTTACCTGATTTAATAATGAAAATTTAATAAAGAATTGCACTTAAAACAACAAAATTAACTAATTAATTAAAATTATAACTCATATTTTTTAAATAAATTCTTGTTCTAAACGTCAAATTAATCGATTAACATTTTTAGGTTATGTCGCATTTAATATATAGTGATTTTCTATGTTAAGCGATTGGTAACTATGAACCATTATGGCGGTTACGAAAAAAAAAGCTAAAGCGATAGTGTTGCAACAAAAAGTTAATAAATAAAATAGTTTAAAGTTTGTCTAACAAACATTTAGGTGTATCATTATTCATTATATTACATCCTATAACAATAAACAATCATTTTTAGGTTATGTATTTCTTCCCCTTCTCTACTCTTCAATAATTTGGGGGAAAATTTTGAGGTTATCTCATTTAACAATGAAAATTTAATAAAGAATTGCACTCAAAACAACAAAATTAACTAATTAATTAAAATTATAACTTACATTTTTTTAACAATAATTTCAACAATAAATTTTGAGGTTATGTGACGCGAACCCTTTGAAGGATTAATTAGACTGCTCCCTCCCCAAAACAATGCCCCTATTTATATAGGCAAGCATGGCCTACTTGGATCATGATAAAAATTGAATTCAAATCGAAGCCTCTGATTGGTCGAAAAATTAAAATGGATACCATTAAAAATATGTTTAAAAAATTTAAATTAACCTAAAAAAATGATTAAAATCTACAATTAATTACCGGTTAATGTAGAATTAATAAAATTATCTTCCAGAAGTAGATTATAACTTTGCTATAAGCTGGATTTATTTAAAATTGTTATAAACAACAAAATAAAGCTCTTCGGTTATTTACTAAACACCATTTCACCTATTCCCTTCATCTATGGTGAAGGTACGGTTATTATATAGTGGTATTTTAAATAACCAAATAAAAATATGTACCTAGATGTGGTGAAATATCCATCAACATTAACTTTATCATCATGAAATTCGTAGAGAAACGATTTAATTTTTCATATAAAGCGTATTTAAGCATTTAGCACCGCTTATAATTTACTTTTTCAAAATCTAGGGGCAATAAATCTTGAACCATACAACTTTTTTGAGCTTAGAAGGCAATTTTCTCTTCACAATTATGTATCACTATCATTAAATCTTTATTTCGAAGATATCTTTTAAAGTAAATAGCATAACATAACCTAAAAATAAAAAAAATATTTATACGGGATCGAATTAACATGAAATACTTAATCTGTGATCAAATTTGCGTTAATAATTAGTGTTAATAAAAGCTGATTGTAAATAAAACCGCGTTAAATAAGAAAAAATAATTAAAAACACTGATAACACAATGACATTTTTTTGAGGTTATGTTCATTGACTTATTGACTTTTATTAATGAAGATTATTNACTATACTTTATCTACAACTATTTAATTTTGAAAAAAAAATCAAAAAAACGAAAAAAAAATAAACTTGATAGACATTTCAGACATAACCTCAATATAAGAAAGCTGTCATTTCTGTTAATATTTTATTTTTTGATTAGTAGGCAGTGTCAGAAGTGTGGAATAATGGCCTCATTATTCAACACTTTGTCTGTCATGGGTAATGAGTGTCATTACCCGTCAAAAATCAATTGTATAACGAATAGATAATTCAATAGTTGTAGATAAAATTGGTTATAACTTCTATTTTAGATTATTATTATAATAAATTAATTAATAAATATGTTATTAAACATCAAATTTGTGTTAATAAAAGCTGATTGTAAATAAAATCGCGTTAAATAAGAAAAATAATTAAAAATATTGAATATAACAGAATGACATTTTTTTGAGGTTATGTTTATTGACATATTGATTTTTATTAATAAAGATTATTTTAATTGAAGCGATTGTAAATTTGAAAATTAATTTTTTGTAGTTTAAAATTAATTTCTGGTATAAAATTGTATAAATATTGATAAATTAAAGAAATTTTATAATTAAAGAAACTGCATAAGAATAAGCGCCATCTAAAATTTTCTTGTTGAACTAATCAACTGGTATGAAATTGGTTAAAATTTCTATTTTAGACTATTGTTATTATAAATTAATTAATAAATATGTTATTAAACATCAAATTTGTATTAATAAAAGCTGATTGTAAATAAAATAGCGTTAAATAAGAAAAAATAATTAAAAACACTGATAATGATACAGAATGACATTTTTTTGAGGTTATGTTTATTGACATTGATTTTTATTAATGAAGATTATTTTAATTGGAGCGATTGTAAATTTCAAAATTAATTTTTTGTAGTTTAAAATTAATTTCTGGTATAAAATTGTATAAATATCGATAAATTAAAGAAATTTAATAATTAAAGAAACTGCATAAGAATAAGCGCCATCTAAAATTTTCTTGTTGAACTAATCAACTGGTATGAAATTGGTTAAAATTTCTATTTTAGATTATTATTATTATAAATTAATCAATAAATATGTTATTAAACATCAAATTTGTGTTAATAAAAGCTGATTGTAAATAAAACCGCGTTAAATAAGAAAAAATAATTAAAAACACTGATAACTTGTTTGACATGAAGTGACATTTTTTTGAGGTTATATTTATTGATATACTAACATGTATTAACAAAGATTAAAATTATTTTTTTGTAGTTTAATAGTTATTTAACCAACAAGTCAATAATGAAGGCGATTAATTATTGAGATAATTAATCGCATTTTAATATACGAGTTAGTTACATTATTTTTCCGTTGACCGTCTTTTCAACAAAATAGAGAAAATCCATCGTTGAAAAATCTCCCAATTCTGTCACTGGCAAAATAACCTCACTTTTAATGTGTCATAATTTATTTTTGTAGTCTTACCGAATAGATATAGTGGTCGGTTGGGTCGGTATTACAAATTTCATTGGAGAATATCTTTGATTATATATAATCAAAGGAGAATATTTATTAAATTGACTACTATTTAGATCGGTTGGAAAAGTGAGGTTGGAAAGAACAGATAGATAAACAAAAATAACACATTTTCCAGCACAGTTTTAAACGGTAGGTATTTAACGATTTCTATAGTAGTCAAAAATTGTCCAGAAGCTCTCTAATTATTTCTATAGTCGTTAAAAACTATACAGAAGTTATCTACTGATATCTATAATCTTCAAAAAGTGTCCAGAAGGTATTTAATGATTTCTATAGTTGTTAAAAATAATCCAGAAGCTTTCTAATTATTTCTATAGTCGTTAAAAACTGTCCACAAGGTGTCTAATGATACCTAGAGTTATCAAAAGGTGTTCAGAAAGTATTTAACGATTTCTATAGTAGTCAAAAATTGTCCAGAAGCTTTCTAATTATTTCTATAGTCGTTAAAAACTATACAGAAGGTGTCTACTGATATCTATAATCTTTAAAAAGTATCCAGAAGGTATTTAATGATTTCTATAGCTGTCAAAAATAGTCCAGAAGCCTTCTAATTATTTCGATAGTCATTAAAAACTGTCCACAAGGTGGCTAATGATACCTAGAGTTATCAAAAAGTGTCCAGAAGGTATTTAACGATTTCTATAGAAGTCAAAAATTGTCCAGAATCTTTCTAATTGTTTCTATAGTCAATAAAAACTGTCCAGAAGGTGTCTACTGATATCGATAGTTTTCAAAAAGTGTCCAGAAGGTCTCTAATGATCTCTATAGTAGTATAGTAGATCTCTATAGTACCTAGAGTTATCAAAAAGTGTCCAGAAGGTATTTAACGATTTCTATAGAAGTCGTTTATTAATAGGTGTCATTAATGAATGATTTTGTATACATTTATAAATCATATAAATACACGGTCGACGGAAAAATTAATTTCTGGTATATAACTGTATAAATATTGATAAATTAAATAATTAAAAAAATTGCATATGTATAAGCGCCATCTAAAATTTTCTTGTTGAACTAATCAACTGGTATGAAGTTGGATAAATTAAATTTTAGATTATTATAATAAATGAATTAATTGCAAAAATAAATATTATATTAAGCATAGAATTTTGCAAATTGATTTACTTTTATTATTATTAATAATTATCTTTTTTATTAGAGACATTCAAGCATTCTTAAATTTCTTAAACGTCAAAATATATTTATAGGTTATAAAGACGATTGTAAAAAGGTAATTGTAGGTTTTTTTGTTAAGATTGATGTTGAAAAATCGTTGGTTATATAGAATTTGGATGGAAACGATGAGTTATAAATGTTAATACGAATGGAAATGGAATCAAAATTGGCTGTGAGTCAAAAATCGTTGTCGCCATAGCGTAATGACAGTGCAAAATTGAAAAGTAGTGTGTGTCACTCTGTTGTAGAAGAAAAAATTTCTTAATTTTTTAATATTTTTTTCGGGAATTATGTAGCAATTCACATCAGTGCTTCGACCAAAAAAAAATTACCCCAAATAAGGCTAAATCGGTAATATTTGGAATACGAATTGAAAAAAATGCATTTTCGCTACGTTCAGAAATTAACCGCTGCCCATAACGGTGTTGTAACATCCGGTGCAATACCCAACACCTTAAAACCTTGCCCATCATTAAGAGTACTCAACACACAAACAAGTAATTATCAAATAATTATGAATAATAATCCATTAATGTTGAAAAACTTGGAAACAACGCACTCTTTTAATTGCCATCAAGAATCAACATCTTCTTCCAGTTATGTTCGATCGAAATCGGTCCCACCAAACGTAAAATTACACCAACTCATACACGATCTTAACAGCAACGTGAAAAAGAGTTGTGTTTTAAAGCTTTCGGAGAAGAAACGAAAAAGCACATCGCTTTTTTCTTATCCACAACAAAAAAGGGGATACAGCACGTTCTTGGAGAAAATTAAAAACTTTTTTACGTTCCGAAACGTGAAGAATTTAGTGAACACCGAAGGGAATCAATCGGAAGTTGACGGGTTTTATTTCAAAATAAAACAGGATTTCTTTTCGCCGGATCGCATTTGCAAAGATATGCCGGAAATGAGGATTCTAAAATTACAAAAAGATTATTACCGCAAACACGGAAAAGCATTCTTTGACAGGCGTAAAGAAAATCTTGAAATTGAAGATTTTATCGAAAGACAAATCGAAAACGAAATCCAAGAAAATCTTAAATTACAAGAAATTAATTTAGAAGAGGAACAAATTGAGATCGAGGAGAAACATCTAAAACAAATCATTCCTTTGAAAGAGCCGAATAATAAACTTCAAGGTTTTGAATGTAAAAAAAATAACGCGTTGTCTCCGAATGATATCGTTTTGGTTACGGATAAAGAGAGGAGATTAATCGGTTGTAAATATTCCTCGCAAATGATGGACGTAAATGATGAGGATAACAAATCGATTACGATTAATTTGAAGCCACCGCAAAGGAATTACCAAAAAAGCTTAAATTTCGGTGGTTTCGATCAAGATAAAGAACACACAATGTATTCAACCGAGCAAATAACATCGATTCGGAAAAAAACCACTTTGGCCAGATCAATTAAAATATTTGTTAGCGACCGAAATCAACAACGTTTAAGCAAAAATGTTGATATACAAAGAAATCGTTTTAACGTTTTTGAAATGGCAACGAAGAGTTGTGATGAAAAATGTTTGAAAATTGAAGAGGATAGTCAACAAGAACAACAAGGACAACAACGAGAATTACAACGAGAATTACAACAAGAAATACAACAAGAATTACAACAAGAATTACAACAAGAAGAAGAAAAGGTGATGAGTTTTAAGGAAAATGTAGTTAAACATATCGAAATGAATCGATCACAGATGATGAAAAACCTGAAAAAATTTGCAAAAAATAAGGAAGATATCGAAAAAAACATCAAAAATGAAAAAGTAAAGATGAAATTTAATTTCAAGAATAACCACATCGTTTATAAATCTTGGAATAATTACACAAAGCTAAATAAACCTTGCTTGAGCACTACAACAGAAACTTTAAGTACGAATAAATCAAGAGAAAATAAATTCAAAAATGTTAAGAAAGACAACAATGAGAAATTTTTATCAAAATTAAACGTAAATGAATTAAAAAAAATTGAAGTGGCCGTCGATGCTTTAGAAGAACACGTTTCGAAGATTCCCCAAATGTTTGAAAAGGTCCATTTCATCCCAGCCGATGTTTTAGAGGAGCTAGGAAACGTCGAGGATGAAATCAAAAAAGAAAAGGAGGAAAAATTCAATTTGGTTAGGCTAAAAAGGAGCCAAGAAGCCGAAAGGGTCGTGACCCCGATCAAATTTTACGAAGAAAGAAAAGTCAAACCAATTCAATTAATCGAAGAAGAACGCAGGAAGGTTAAACCGATCACATTCGACGAGTTATCCAAAATTGTAACAACGAAAGAAGTTAAAACCAAAATCGGGGATGTCCAACTTAAAGCGGAAGAAAATAACGCGATAAAACCATTCCTTCAATTAAAATTTAAAGAAGCGGAGAGTGAAGGGTATAAACCCAAGGTGATTAAAATCGAAATCGATGACGAAAAATTAACCGTTTCTAAATCTTTGGGTAATAATAATAATGTTATTAAAAGTAATTTAGAAGAAAAAGATAAAAAAATTAATTATATAAATAATTACGAAAAGAAGTTAGACAACCCAATTAACACGAAAAAATTAGATGACAGTGCCGATAAAAAAGAAATCTTTATTAATGTCATTCAAAATGAATTAAAAAATAACGATTTAAAGGCGAATGAAATAACTAAGAAAAGTGTTAATTTAATCAAAAAGATAGATGAAGTAAGTAACGAAAAAGAAACTAAATCTTTTAATGTTTTAAGTTTTGATTATAAAGGGGAGGATAAAAAGTTGGGAGTAAAATTTTTCGACCCCGAAATAAAATTGAAAGAAAAATCAAAAACAGCTCCCAAAGAAATAAAACCAACCAAAATAGTAGCCGCGGAACCAATAGCTTACCAAATAGGGGGCGGCCACAGTTTATTGTGCCAAATAAAAAACCTCCAAGACGCGAAAATGAAGAATACGATGCGGGATTCGATTCGATTCATGGATCAAGTTAAAGAAACGTTGAGATGGGATTTCGGGGATTCCTACACGAAGGAAGTAATACACGTTAACCCCGATTTAAAAACATCGACGACGCGGATTTTACCCCACGACCCAAAAACGCCGTATTCGCAAATTTGGATAAAACTGAACGATTTTCGAATAATCAGCGTGCAAGCTGATGTAAGAAAAAAAGAGGGGCAAATGATAAGGGGGTTGTTAAAAGATCAAGGGAAAAAGCTGTTGTGTCCGTTCCAAAATTTGGGGGGACTCCAAAAACGCGATTATCCCCCACAACTTGATCGAGTAAAAATCGAAAAAAATCTCACATTCTTTGAGAATAAAATTGAAGATAAAGAAACGTATTTAATGAATCAATTTAGAAACTTAAACGATAAAAAAATTACGTTTCAACTCCGAAAATACGCGCTTAAAAAAAATCCACACTCCTTATTCATATTAACGAATATTAAAAGAATCGAAGTTTTAATAAAATATTTCGATTCATCTTCATCCGGAACTTCCGGATCTAGTAGATCCCCAGGATCAAATGGATCTTCAGGATCTAAATCATCCGGAAGCACCGGATCGAAAAATACATCGAACGTGAAAAAAGCCGCTGAAGAAAGTACAAACGAAGAAAAATACAAAGTGAGACGGAGAAGAGCGCATAGGTGTGCGAAAAAAGAAATATCGACTCATCCGGTTGGGAAGAAGAGGTCAAAAACGTGTAAGGACGAGGCTTTTGGAGATACGTACTCGAAACATCGCGCTAGAATGTGTAAACCAAAAATGAAGAATGCGGCGGAAAGTGGTGTTAAAGAGTCTGTGGTGTTTGAAAAGAAGAAAATGGAAAAAACGGCGGAGGATGAGATTGCTAAGAAGGCAGTAGAGGAGAAGGCGAAAGCGTATAAGGAGTTGGTTCATACGGTTTGGAAACCAAGAAAAGTTAATCGTAAGCTTAATTTACTTCACAATTTTTAAAACTTTTTATAATATCCAACAAATAGTAATTGTCTTAGGGAAAGTTACTTCGCTTTGGACAGTTTAGGATTCGTTAGAATTACTTTGGAATATATTTAAATTGTTCCTAACATTCATATCTTCTATGTGAACCTAAAAAATTTCAAGAAAATTAATAATCAAAGAAAATACATATACAGTGTGTTCATAAAGTAACGGAAATAGGCGATAAAATCATTATAAAATGGAAAAATCTCTGAAACGGGTCTAAAGATTTAAATTTTTTACAATTGTTTGGTGTAGATTTTTAATTTCTTCCGCCATTTTTAAGCGAGTTATGACGTAATCGGTATTTTTTTCAAATGGCAATCCCCTATTTTTATTACGGAATATGAAAGAGGATTTTTTTCTGAATCTAGTACAGTCAATATTAATATTGGTTACATAAGAAAATTTTCGAGAAAAATTACTTTCAAGTTTAACTACTTCAGATTTGTTGACATGATAAAAATAGCAGTAGCCATGAATAACTATGGTAACCAATTATTTTAAACAATTTCCTAAGTGTCAAAAACTGATTTAGTACAGCTTCTTGTAGTGTGGTGGCGCACCATCTTGTTGGAATAACTGCCGTCGGAATTGAGTTGTATCAACAGTATCGGGATGGAAGGAATGATATCGTTTTGAAAAGATTTAAACATCTCTTTCCAGTTAAGGTCTCCTCAAATCTTTTCAAATCTATATCCGTTACTTTACGGACACACTGTATATTTTTTAAGAAAATCTTGATGAATTATTCAACTACAAAGCGCTTTTTATATTAATTTATATAATTTTTTAGGTTCAAATAGAAAACAACATCACTATTTATATCTGCAACAAATTTCATGAATAATGGTGGAGTGGTTTTTGAGATATCGTGTCCAAGAGTTGTAAAAACTCCATGCAATACCTTCCTTTTCTTCTCTTAATCACAAATACTAGAGTTAAATTGATGTTTCGTGTAAAAATTTTTGAAGAAAATTATTTAGACTAATCTAGAGTTTGATTTTGTACTTTTCAACTGGTTTCTGTTTTGTATAGAATTTAAGTTTAACTAGTTTCGATCCTTGGCCATCTTCAGAGACTCTACAAATCTCTCATTTTATCCATTTTACAAATAAGTTTCTTAATATTTCTTTTTCTTTTGTTAAAAAAGATCACATATCAAAGTAAATTTACAAAATTAACATTTAAAAAGTTCTACATATAATGAAATTAAAAGTTTACAAGTTAAAAATCGACGATTTTTTTTAATCAATGTGAAATGACCCAAAAAACACGTTAAAAATAAAAAGAAAGTGCGGAAAAGAGACTAACACTAGATTAACTTCAGTTGTAAAACTTCGGTTATATGATAACTAACTTCAGGTTTAAAATGTCAACCTCAATTTTGACATATTTGTAACCTTCATTAAAAATCCTTTAAAATGAGTACAAACACGACATATTTATCGTCAATATTAATGAAGTTATGGTCAACTTCCGGTTTGGAATGTCAACGTCAATTTTGACATATTTGTAATCGTCGTGAAAAATCCTTTAAAATGAGTCCAAACATGATATGTTTAATTCCAATATTATTCGAGATATAAGCAACTTCCGGTTTGAAATGTCAATGTCATTTTGACATAATCTTAATTTTTATAAATTGTCTTAATATTTGTCACAAAAACAAAAATACAATAAAAAAAAAACAAAAATTAAGGTTGGTATTAATAATTCAAAATTAAATTGCTATCTTCATTGTTGCTAACTTCGGGTTTAACGCTTTTTATTCTAACTTTTTTGTTTTTTGAGATAAGTGCGTCATGTTTGGACTCATTTTAAAGGTTTTTTAATGAAGATGACAAATATGTCAAAATTAACATTGACGTTTCATACCGGAAGAGATTGTATCTCCATTAATATCAAAGTTAAATATGTCGAGTTTGGACTCATTTTAAAGGATTTTTTATAAAGTTGACAAATATGTCAAAATTAATAGTTTTTTGAGATAAATGCATCATGTTTGGACTCACTTTAAAGGTTATTTTATGAATAGTGTAAACCCGATACTTTCCAGTTCTAGGTCTAGTGTTAGTTCTAGTTTTTGTTCAACAAAAATATGCAATATGTTAATCTTTTATTAACTAGCACTACTTACCACTGCCACTAAAATTAATACTAGACCTAGAACTAGAATCATTCGGGTTTAGCCGTCTTGAGAGACGTGCGGCTAAACTCGAATGTTTCTAGTTCTAGGTCTTGTTTAGTTCTAGACACTAGACCTAGAACTACAAAGTATCAGGTTTAGCCGTGCGTCTAAAGACTAAAAATTAATAAATTCGAAATTTAATGTGTAGTGTCCTATTTTTGACAGTTAATGTCATATTTTGACGTTTGACAGCTTTATTGATTGTTAATCCAACAAATTTTCGTTTCTAACCTATTGCACCGTAAAGGAAATTTAAAATCGTTTAAAATGAGTCCAAACTCGACCTATTTACGATAATATAAAAATTACGTCAAAATAAAACAAAATGGCGGATTTTTTGTTGATACCTAACGTAACATTTTTGATTTTTATCGGAAATTAGTAGTGTTCGGTATCAAATTAAATCGATTTTAATAAAGATGAAAAATTTAATGGAGAATAAAAAATTTTTTTTTAATAAAAAAATTTGTTATTAATTTTTTAATATTTTAAAATCGTTTCTAACCAATTGCATCATAAAGGAAATTTAAAATCCTTTAAAATGAATCCAAACTCGACATATTTACGAAAATATTGAAATTACATCAAGAAAAACAAAATGGCGGGTTTTTTGTTGAATTCTTAACCTAACATTTTATTTTTTAACCTAAATAGGTCGTGCTTGGTATCAAATTAAAAGAATTTTGTTTCTTATTACGACTATTTCAACATTTATCATAAAATAATTAAATTCGATTTTGACATTTGACAGATTTTAACCTAACTTTTTCATTTTTTAACCTAAATAAGTCATATTTGGTATCAAATCAAGAGCTTTTTGATTCTTATTACGATTATTTCACCATTTATCATAAAATAATTAAATTCGATTTTGACATTTGACACTTTCTAACCTAACTTTTTCAGTTTTTAACCTTAATAGCTCATGTTTGGTATTAAATTACAGTATTTTTAATTCTTGTTAATATAATTTCAATATTTATCAATTAATTTTATTTTGACATGATTTTGACATTTGACAGTTTATAACTTTTTTCATTTTTTGACCCATACACATCGAGTTTGGTATCAAATTATACATAACGCATCGTAAATGAAATTAAAAATCCTTTAAAATAAGTCCACACTCGACCTATTTATGTAAACATTCTTCTTTGTTTTTTGATTCTATTTCTTTTTTTTCTATTGTAGAATTTCTTGGTGTATCTAAGTGTCGTATCTTGGCGTTTAGCTTTATCCTTTAAAACAAATAGTATTTTAGGTCTTTCGGTATTCTGCATTTTTTCTAAGATAAGAAGTTACACCTTTATTTCTACGAATAGTCAGGCCATAATATGTAGTCAATTTTCTTATTAAAGCATCTGCCAATTTTCTTTTCCCTACAAGAATATGTATTATTTTTCTTATGTTTTAGAGTCGAGACCCCATTATCTTTTCAACACGTCCAATACATTCATTTTTGGTTATTTCTAGGAAAATGCTATGAATATTTCGAGAGAAACTCTTTTTAAAAGAATTAGCACAGAATGCGCTTCAAGGAAAGCAGTTGTTACTACTGTATTACATTCTTAAGATGTTTAAGAATCTTTTTATGAAAAAAAAAAAAGTTTTTAAGTTTTTTATTATATAAAATCTCTTGTTACAGTTTCGTCTAGTTTTCTTCTCTTCGCTTGTAATTCATTGATGCTTATTTCATCTATAACTTTCAAAATTTGTTATAAAATTAATTTCTTGAAGGATCCTTGTGGAAATATCTTCCTCGTCATGTATATGGCGTTGAACAATGATTTATCAGCTTCTTCTATTTTTTTGCCGCACTTCGTCTTTGGTAATCATAGGATTTGACTTGCTGGTGTGGAAACTTTTTGTAGACTCCGTAGATAAATCGTCTCAAAAGAAGCCTTCGACGTATTGTTTCCACCTTTGCAGTTTCCCTTCTATTTCCATCAAAATTCTATCATTGTGACCTTTCTAATGAAGATTTTCAGTCTCTTCGCATTGTTTTTTCAACTAGCTACTAGGTATTTACTCTTATGTTTGTTTTTATATATTTTTCTTTCTTCCATGAGCTGCAAGATGTCATTGGTCATCCACTGTTGGTTTCTTGGTGCAGATATTTCCTTCAGGTGGTCTTCCAATATTGTATTTGTGTAATTCAATTATCATGTCTCTAACTATGCCTAATATCACTTTGATGTATTTTTCGATTAACGATTTTTTTGATTTTTAGTCGACGATAATATTTGTTGTAAGAAAAAACCGAAAACACCATCATGTGCAAATGTCGAAACTTCTCCGGGATTAGAACGCGCCCCCCAACCAGCTGATCACGTAATAAAACCGGATTTGTGCGTAAAATATCAAAGTCCCCGTTATGAAAAATCATCCATTTCCGCATCGAAATCGGGTAAAAAATGTGACGCGAAAAGAATTGGAGGCGAAAAACCGATAAAAAAGATGCCCGAAGAAGAATCGATGAATCCCAGCTATTGCGACGCGAAAAAAAGCGCGAACGACAATGATTAACAATAAATAAAGTAAAAACAGAAATTTTGAAGGGGTTTTTTTAAAAATTGGAGATAATTTTTAAAACAATTCGAGTGATGACTACGAATAACACTTTTTTATACAAAATTTTATACAAAAGTTAATTAATAAATCGTGTTTGTTTAGTAGATATGTTAATTTGTATTTATTAATTTTATTTTGGTTTCGGACCGTTTGGGAATCCCACAGACGTGAATAAAAGTGTTAAA